AATAATTTAACTGACCTAAAAATCTACTCTACTCCACCTATTCACCTGACTCTCCCTCCTAACTCCTGGCAAGGCTGTTCTTTTTATTGTCTCCACAGTTTTACATGCCTCCCCCATCCAGCAATGAATGAGACTTCCTGTTCCATACCCTTCCCAGCATCTGTTAGCATTCTGGATTTTGGTCATTCTAATAAGTATGTAGTAGGATCTCATTTTAATTTGTAATTCTCAAATAAATCTATGATGCTGAACATTTCTTATTTATATGTCTTATTTGCCACCTTATGTATCTTCTTTGGTGAGGTGTGTGTTAATGGGCTATTCATTTTCATGTTAAGTTTTGAGGGGGTTGTATATTTTGGATAACAGTCCTGTATCAGATTTTCTTTTACAAACATTTTCTCCTACCCTGTGGTTTGTATTCTCATTCTCTTGAGCTATCATACACTTTTTAATTGGCATATAATTTTTCACCAAAAATATAAGTGGTTATACTGGATATGGCCCTGCCTTGCTACGTTATGTTTTATAAATATTTACATTGAAAAATATTATTTATATCACTCTCTTAAAGGTAGTCAATGAAATTTAAGACTACAACCAACTGATACCATTACCCATTTCAAAGACACAAAAAAGCTCTAGTTGAAGTGAAAACTATATCATTCCTTTTTTTCTCCTTAATCTAGCATTTTTATTGCACTTCTCTCATAAAATTATACTCTAAGGGCAGGAGCAAGTCTATCACCCTCAAGGGTCGGGGGATACCCAGGGGTAGGTGTGCCAGGAGGCAGGACCTTGGGCCCACCTTAGTGAGCTGACTGCATTGCTCAGTATTGCTCAGAGGGGCCACACAAAGACGCCTTCCTAGAGAGGAAGCCTGAAGACTGATCATGTGCCTTGGTTGTGTGACCTGCTGACTTATCCGGGAGGAAGACTTACATCATAAATACTAAATATTAAATACCAACAGTACCGATACAGAAATTAATAATCAGGAAAGTGAATCTCCTAAAACTATCTGAATGTCTGCAAATTCGGGCCTTCCTCACAAAACCATATGTGTTCTATACTTAGGGATTATTTAAGGGAGTTTTAAAGGGTAATCAGTAGCTGCATTACTATGTTTGGACACATTTGGAAAAATAGACACATTTGGAAAAATTTTCCCACCTCCTAGGCCTTTGTTCGTTGTTACTCCTTCCTCAGAACCTTGTGTGAACCTGGGTAAATCTACATGACTTTCTCCCCACTCGGTCCACTCTTTTTGTTTTACTGCCTCTTGCTAAATGCTTGGTTCTACGTTCTCCATTCAAATTCCTATGAAGATCTGGAAGTCCCAGCTCATCTCGTACATGGGAAGCCATGCGACAAGTCACAACCAGCTGTGGCCAGAGTCAAGGTCACTTGGCATAAGTGATGGCCACAGAGGGTTGCCTGGTCAACAGCACTGTGAGTGGGACAATTTCACTTAGAAGGGCCAATGGGTATGTAAAAACCAAATAGAGAAAAGGCTGATAATGAGTTATTCCCCTGGTATGATTTTCAAAGATTTGATATACAACCTCTAAATATTCCTTATTTCTTACTAACAGTTTAAACAAATCTGGTATCAACAAATTTATGACCCATCTGTTGACTAGACCAATCCCATCTGTAACTCTGGCTATGCTACATACTAGCAGCCATATAAAAAATGTCTCCGGCAAAACATTGTATCAGAATTGATTTCTAATGGGAAGTAAGAAGTTAACTGTTAGAAATTTAGAGAGAAAATAAGATTGAAATAACATTTAAAAGGTAAATTTTAAATAAAAATTTTCATTCAGTTCTGACACTAACTACTCAGAGTTAGCACAGACTGCATAGGTTAAGAATTTGGTCCCTTAATACTGCACCAATCACAAATAGTGCTTCTGTCCTCCTTGGGTGCAAATCTGGGGTTCCCAAGAGATGGTCTTCAAGTTTAATGATTTGCTATCACAGGTCACAGGAGTCAGGGAAACATTACTTGCCATTATAAAGGACATTGTAAAGGATATTATTCTTTATTTTAATGGATGCATATAAAGAACCAATTGAGAGGTACATAGAGCAAGGTCCAGAAAGATCCCAAATTCAGGAACACGTATGCCTATAGAGTTTGGGGTGCACTACCCTATCTGCCTATGGATGTATTCATCAACCTGGAAGCTCGCTGTACACCATTACTTAATGGTTTTGTGGAGGTTCTATTACATTGATTAGGTCACAGGCCATAGAAGTCAGGGGTAAGGCTGAAAATCCCAACCCTGTAATCACAGGGTTTGTGTTCATCTAGCTACCAGCTCCCATCCAGGGTTCCACCTAGTGTTACCTCATTAGCAAAGTGACAGTGTGTCCCTATCTAGGGTTCCACCTAGTGACACCTCATACAAATTGACACTCTATGTCCAGAGATCTTAAGGGCCTTATAAACTCTTGTCTCTGGAACTGGGGACTAACACCAAATATTATACTAAAGGATCCTCCCATCACTCGGAACATTAACAAGGATTTTGGAGGCTCTGGTGCTACGAATTTGGGAGTAAAAACCAAGTGTGTGTGTGCGTGCGTGCGTATTATTATATCACAATTATTTATTGAGTAAACTAATGAATAAATTATTGCTCCTAGTTGTGTGAAGAGTAAGCCAGATTCAATCATCAATGAATGTGAGAAAAGTCCAGAAAGTCAGTTCGTGCCATGTCAGAGAAGGTATAATGGAAGGACCTGTCTCAAAGACGCAGTTTTATGCAAGGGTAGAACAATAATGACAATGTTGGGGTATTACAAATAAAGCTGCTATGACCATGTCCTAGTTTTGGTGTCAAAGGTATTGTGAGAAGAGGAAGGGTGTTTTTTTTTTAGAAATTTACTTAGTACCTACTATATCAATCACTGTGCCTAGTGCTCGGGAAGATTAGTTGAAAGGCATAGACCCTCCTTCCATTTCCTGAAGAAGCAAAATAAGCAATTACAGAAAAAAAACATGTCCACAAAAGCTAGGACATGCTCATAGCAGCTTTATTTGTAATAACTCAAAATTAAAATTCCAAATACCCTTCAATAGATATTTGGATATACAAATCATAATAAATCCCTACAATGGAATACTATTTAGTAATAATGAAAAAGACAACCTGGTTCATACAAGAAAAAAAAAAAAAGAATCTTAAAATTATGGTGAGTCAAAGTGAAGCAAAAAGAGAACAGTTTATGATTCCATTTATTTAAAGTTCAAGAAAATGCAAATTAATGTTTATTGACAGAAAGTGGTTGCCCAGGTATGGAGTTTGAAGGGAAAATGGGTTACAAAATGGCACAAGGGAACTTTTAGTGAGTGATGTGATGTATGATTGTTATCATGACTGTGGCGATGATTTCATGGGTGCTGTGGTCTGAAAGTACCCCCCAAAATTCATGTTACAATCCTCACCTCATTTTCCCTGGAAAGTAAGTTGATACAAACTAATGTAAAGAAAAACAAGATCTACTAGAAAGTAAAAATTACTTCTCTCAGCTTCAGTTCTCCAATAGAAATAGAATGATCATTTACATAATGTCCAATTCTAAAGATTAATAACTCGTTATTTATCACATATCTTTCTTTGCATCGCCATACTATCATCTCTAGTTTACCTCCTATCTCTCTGTTCCTCTTTCCCTTCCTGCTGGTTCACCTTCATCCAAAAGTAGAATTATCCCAAAGTTTGTCTCATCCTTTCCTCCCTTCACAATGCATAAGCCTCTGACGGTAAGATCTCCACCTAAAAACTCCTATACCAAGGTTCCAGGAAAGAGTAAATGATCTAAAGTGCGACCAAGAGAAACCAAATACCATGAAGAATGAAAAAAAGGTTACTGGATTTGGGCAAAAAGGATTGAGTAGGGGAGCAGTGCACTTTTTTAATCTGGCAATACTCTGTGAAGAATTGAGGCCAGAGGATAATAACATCTTAAAGTAGCCTTTGGGGTCATGGATGTAATTCTATAATCCTTGGATTTAAATGTCATTAAGTTCCTAATGCTTCATCTTGGCATACCAGTCACCTCACAATGGCCCAGTTCTCATCCAGTCATTACCCAAAAGCCTATTTCCTGGCTCCTATCAATTCAACTACTGACCCTCTAAACAAGCTTAAGCGTCCCAGCCTAAGTTTTAGGTCCCGCCCGGCATCACCTGTAGATACTTAAATGCCTTTTATAGCCTTCTCTTAACTCTCAAAACACCACGAACCTCTTGTAAGTTAACAGCTTTTGAGCGATGAGACCAATTCTGACTCATTTTTACACCTCCTCTTACATTTCACAGCTCCCAGTCCAATGTTTACCACTCAGAATGCCTCCGCAGAACGGAAGGACTGGAACAGGGAGAAAAGGCAAATACAAATCTCTGAGACATCCTATTAGGCGCCACAGGCACACTCGCTCTTTTCACGCTCACCAAGATGTTGCACCAGCCGGGCAGGATGTTATCCCGCTCTTAGAGCTGAATACATTTAAGCTCCAACAAGCCCTCAGATCGTTCACTACAGCTCCACGGAAAATACAATTATAATGCTATAAATATAAATACAAATACAATTATTGCACCGGAATCACAAGCAGTGAGGTCCTCACCACCACCACCACCCGATCCCGGTAAAGTTAAAAACTGAATTTAGGGGAACTCGGATACTAGCAGTCAGTCACGAACAGCCATGCGAACCCTTTCCTGCGGGGTTTTCGAGCTGAGAAATCCAGCCCCCCAACCCAAATTCTGAAGTACGAGCTGGGCCTGTAACCCCCTCCCCAGGCCCCCAAATTCCCAGTGGAAATCGCCCACGAGCCCAGCCCGGGCTCATGCGGCAGCTTCCGCATCGCGCACAGAAAGCGCGGAAGCAGGAAGAGGAATCGCCAACCCACCTGGGCGCTTCTGATTGGCCACCGGCCGAGCGTGGAACTCTGGGACGTGTGGCGTCACGTCCGCCGGGGCCGCCATCTTGTTCCCAGGGGCAGTTGGCGGAAGAGATCGCGCTCCTTGGCCGCTGGCTCCTCTTCGCCCGGGAGTTCTCGCGTCCCGCGTCTCGGCGCCTGCTCTCCGCCCGGGGCCCATTTGCCGGCGTCCCCGCGGCCCTTCCTCCCCCGGCCGGGGCACAGCGAGGCGGCCCCGCTTTCCGCCGGCGTTCCATGGAGTAGGGTCCCGGACCGTTGTCCCGAAGAGCGAGATCGAGCTGGGCCCCCTCCCCCCTCCCTTTCCCTTCTCCTTCCTTCCGCTGCAACATGGCTAACAACAGCCCCGCGCTGACAGGCAACTCGCAGCCGCAGCACCAGGCGGCCGCCGCTGCGGCCCAGCAGCAGCAGCAGTGCGGCGGCGGCGGCACCACCAAGCCGGCGGTCTCGGGCAAGCAGGGCAACGTGCTGCCGCTGTGGGGCAACGAGAAGACCATGAACCTGAACCCCATGATCTTGACCAATATCCTGTCGTCGCCTTACTTCAAAGTGCAGCTCTACGAGCTCAAGACCTACCACGAGGTGGTAGACGAGATCTACTTTAAGGTATGAAGCGTCTAGGCCTGGGGGATGGGGGCGAGCCTTGGAGGAAGGGGGTCTGCAGGAAACGGGCGCAGAACTCGTAGGTCGGGGGGGGGGCGGGGGGGGGAGGTGTGACGAAGGGGGAGCGGTGGCCGGTAGTCTTTATCTGGGAGGGGTCGAAATGGGGCCGCCCTCGCATTTCCTTTGCCGATTTTGTAGGGCCGCGGGAGAGCCCGCCACTCTTGCTCTCTCTCCTCCTCCAGCCTCCTGCCCACCGCTGGGGGGAGTCGGGCGAGAGGGGTGGAGGAGAGGAGGGAAGAGTCAATGAAGCCTCTCTAGTTTGCAGCTTTAAAATTCTTGCTTTTGACGTGGATCTCCTCGGCGCCAACTTGTTGGTGCGTCTCCCGCTCACCCTGAGACAGGGCGTGTATTGACTTCAGTGTTGGCCTCGTGTTGTTGGTATTCGCTATCCGATCCAGACAGGGAAATGGTTAGTGCGTGTGTCGGGGCGGGATTGGAGGGTTGAGGGTGGAGAGGTGCCAGTGCAAGAGGTGAGAAGTGTAGGCCTGGATGTTTTCCCCCAGCAGGAAGTCAGGAGTAAGTGGTCTCAGCTACCTGTGCATTGGGCTTTATTTAGAATTATCTGGGCCCTGGGCTTCTGCGGCAGGGTCGGTGCTGGCTTGGCTGTGCTGGGGAGCTCACCTGGCGCCTCCTCACTGCACTCTTGTCTCAGTTCTTGTTTCGTTAGCAGGATTGACTCAGTCTTGCAGCGAGGCTCGGAGCAGCCCAGGGTCGCAGGTAGAGGTATGCACTATTAATCATGCTCAATCGCCATAAATGCATTTCCCTGGTTAAATGAATGGCTAATTCGAATTTTTTTTTCTTTTTTTTTTTTTTTTTCCTTTTTTTTGGCCGTCGGTTTTGGTCTTTTCACCAACAAGATAGGCCTTCTCCAGTTCCCTGCAAATGATACAGTTTAAAAAATACCTTCCCGGCCTCCTAAGCTTAAATTGTATTGTAACGACTGAATAGCCTTAAAGATCTTTAAATAGCTTAGCTTAGAGCTTCTAATATGCAATTCATTTTGCTTATTTGCTATTCTTAAAACATCTGACAGACCACGGAAAGTATTTTCTATGGACTGAAAGTACCTGTCAAGGTGTTAACAAAAGGGAATTCTCTTTTATTTAAAGCAATTAGGTTATTTGGTCCTCTCCCCCCCTTTAAGTGATTAGGTTATTGAAGAAGTTTAAGATATTAGTTGCTTTTGATAGAAAATTGTATCTTGAGAATAACATTTCAACTTTGGGTGTATTGAGTACTCTGAAATTTCATTATTCTCTTGAAAGAGTATTGTAAAAAAAAATACAAGCTAGTTTTTTTTAGCTTTTAAAAGGTAAGGCCTTTTTCAAGTATGAATACAGTATGGTGAATAATATTTAATACTTAGTTTTATATAGAAAACTTTAAATAGCTGAAAATTTGAGTTCCTGCTTTTTCTGAGGCAGATTCTGTTTAATTCCTGGCAAATGTTAATGAGGTAGAGGAAAAGTTTGATTTCAAATACTGTGTCTATCAGAAATTTCTTAATAGTTTTTATATTGTATCTTATAACGGGCTTAATCGTCAGGACATCCAAATCAAATAATAATTGAAATATGCAGACTTCCAGTCAGTGGATTTTGTATTGCATCCATTCCTTTGGCCAGCTTTTAAGGAATTGCAACGTCTTTTATATTGCAAGCTGGGGGAAGGAACTGAAACAGTGCAGGGGTCGACTGAGCAAAATAGTTTAGTGCTTAAATTTAAATGCATGCTATTCTGTCAGCAGCCACTGGGAAAACAACTATGGGTGGGTAGAAATGTAGTTTTAGAAAAATACAGTGAAAAAAATCCCAGGATTATTGTTTAAGTTAAAGAAATACGGATCTCTCCAAAAGAAATTCTTGAGTTATATCTGTTGTAGAACTAATTATTCTTTCTTTGGTATTTAAAGTATGTTGTTTTTATAGGGTGCCCACCTCAGCAAAGATGATGCTGATTATAGTTAGTAAATGACTAGTCACGCTGTCTCAGTTTTTGACAGACTTTATATTCTGGGGAAAAAATTGAATTGGTTCAAATAATTAGGGCTGAAAATTACAGAGTGACTAACAAGAATAATATCTGTGTAGGTGTTGCCTTTGTAATTTCATCTTTAATCAGGAATGAACATTATGTCTGATCATGGTAAAAAAAATTATAAAATCCCATAATTTTGCATGAGAAGTAACTTGTTACTCTTTTAGCATACTTTTTTCAAGTCATTTTTCTTTATAATGAGGAATTTTAAATCACCCTAAAGTTGAACTATCAAAGATATTTTTAATAAGATTTTTTGAGATAAATACCTTAGTAATATGTTCAGCAATAATTTGGAGCCTTAAATCTTTTTAAAATGAAAATTTTATTTTTTAAGCAGCTCACAATAAGATTTAAAGTTACGTATTAGCAAATATTTTTACAAACATGAGACTAGAAATTTCCCGATGTTCATGTATTCTATAAAGCTACTTTAGTGGGGTTTCTTTGCTCTGTGAAGCTGTTGAGGTTTTATTAAACCCTAGTAGCTTTATGGGTGCTCTTTAAACACCCAAGCAGTTTTTCAAAGATGGTTTGCATACTTAATGTGACTAAAAAACTACATATGTGTATATATGTGTGTTATATGTATGTGTATATGTGAGTGTATATTATGTATATATACACACAAAATGTTGAAAAGCCCAATTTCCAAATTTTGGAAGATCTGTTATGGACTTGAGTTTACTTTAAACTTAAAGGTTTTTCAAAAAAAATTTTGAAGTATGAATGTTTGTTGTGTTTCTCTTTTCTACTTTCAGGTCACGCATGTTGAACCATGGGAGAAAGGAAGCAGGAAAACAGCAGGCCAAACAGGGATGTGCGGAGGGGTAAGTAGAAGTACGTGAATTTTTCAGTTTTTCTGTGTCTGATCATTAAGCTTATATATAGAAAACTTAAAAGTATTACCTGTCAGTTACATTATCAAATGAGACTTCGTTGGCAGTCTTAAATTTTCTTTAAATTTAAGCCTAGAGAATGGGGTAAGAAAAGTTACTGTTTTATTCTCTACTCTCAGTGCAACATATCATGTAATTAAAACCTAACAGGAAGAATTGATGTTAAATATTTCATTAATTTATTAACTTTTTACCCCTAAAGGTTCGAGGTGTTGGAACAGGAGGAATTGTTTCTACAGCTTTTTGCCTGTTGTACAAATTATTTACTCTGAAGTTAACTCGAAAGCAAGTGATGGGTCTTATAACTCACACAGACTCTCCATATATTCGAGCCCTGGGATTTATGTATATAAGGTGAGCGGGCATTTATCTGTATTTCTAATAAATTTTCATTGTAATTCACAAGTGCCCTAATAAGTGTTTTGTAATTCTAGGTATACACAACCCCCTACAGATCTATGGGACTGGTTTGAATCCTTCCTTGATGATGAAGAGGTATGTCAACAAGGGTAATAATTAGCTTTCTTCTGATTACACTCATGTTTTTAATGTTTCATTTATTGGAGTTTTAATATCTTCTAGGGTTTTCTAATTGAGATTTACTTCAAATACTTTTGAATTTAACGTCCTTTTACTAAGCTTGTTAGGTTTTATATATCTTAGGTTTTTTGTTTGTTTGTTTTGTTTTTAATTGTTTAAATGTGTTTTGGTAACTTAAATTTTTTCTATTCCTAATTATATTCTGGGCATTTCACTAACCTGGAAGAGTTGATTGTGACTTTTTAGTGGGTCATGCTCAAGGTTGAGGTGATAGAAGTCTTGTGCATAGAGCACTAATTATAGCTTTTTTCTTCTGAAATTTTTTACTTTACCATGTAACTTCCTCTAAATATTAGTATTCCTTGAATAGATGTGCGGGGTTGAAGAGCTGGGTGGAACCTAAATAGACTGAGGGTTTAATGACTGAAGGTGACAAAACATTTCAGTTCTAACTTTCTGACTGTTAGTCCTCTATACATCCTGTAAAACTACAAGAAAACATCAGCAGTTTAGTGGTTTTTTTTTTTTTTTTAATTATTTCATTTACCATTCAAGCTTTACAAAATTGAGCTTCTTACATGCATTTTGAAAAGAAGCTTACTTTGGGGGACATTATTATTAATGTCAGAGCAAAGTTATATTAAGTGTATTAATTTGCTTATATTGTGACTAAGATCTTAAAAGGTACTTCACAGCAAGCTATAATGCCCATACAGCCCCCATACTACTTAATATTTTAGGTTTATAAAGTAAACCTTGAGTGCCTGCTTCAGTAGCCTATTTTAAAAGTTCATCTGAAAATTTTATGGAATTAAAGTCTAGTTATACTAGAGATTTTTCGGTCTTGATTTTGATACTATGTGCGTGTGTGCACACCTGAATCACAGACAAGAGGACTTGTTCTCTGTATATTTTTGTCTTGTTTACAGAGATGCTTAATATTTTAGCAGAAGCGAGAAGTGTATTAAGTGATAAATTGCAGTCTTTAAAGTGTTTTTCTTTTTAGATGAGATTTTTCAGGCCGGAGCACTTTTCCTTCTATATTTAAAATGCATGACCCTCTTCATAATTGGTATCGTACTAGGTTTGTTTCTGAATGCTTCTGTTTAATGTTTTTTACTGTGTACAAAACCAAGGATCTCTGTTTGAGCTAACTTATGTTTTCTTCCTTAGATATCTGCAGCGATTATATTTGGAAATACTGTATATCTGAACACTTAAATGTGTGTGAGTGCAAGCAGTTTTACCTTTAGCTCTTGTTTTCCTGTTTAGATAACAAATCTCACTTTCCTTGTGTGCTTGCACTGTAGGTTTGGGACTGACAATAGCTGACTAACATGTCCTGAGCTGTGAGAGGGCATAGCGAGAAGGCCTTCATGCGGTAATGACCCTTTTCAGAGACAATGGTCACCATGGATTATGCGTTGCCAATTATTTGTTCATTTATTTACTTTCTACATAACTCTAAATTAGAAACCTCACTGCTTCATGGCAGTTGGTTTGCTATTGCTTCCAGTTTTATTAGGGCTTCATTTTATATTAGAGCTGTTAAGAAACTAGCCTTTAGTCAGGACTTGTCTGAAGTAGTTCGTATGTAGCCAGGTTACAGTGCCAGGATGTAACCATGTGTGCACCCATGTCCACAGAAATAAATACTTAGTAGGTATGTGGAATATAAGTTTGTCAGTTGCCCCACATAGTTCAGTAGCATAGTTTAGTTTCATATTCTGGTTAAGTGAGTTGAGGTCAGTTACCTTTATGCCCATGATTCTGCAGGATTTCTTCTTACCTTTATGCACACACTAAGCCCACCTATTTCTCTTTATCATTCATTACCAGATTAGAAGGATACACAAATTGAAATCTTCTGTTAGCATTTTTTTGTATTTGAGATTCCAAAGATGGTAATATTTTAATAGTATTCACATACATATTGAAACAATTTTTTTGACGGCTAGGGTATCTTTTGTGTTTCTGTAGGACCTAGATGTGAAGGCTGGTGGAGGCTGTGTAATGACCATTGGAGAAATGCTGCGGTCTTTTCTGACAAAACTGGAGTGGTTTTCTACCTTGTTTCCAAGAATTCCAGTTCCAGTTCAGAAGAATATCGATCAACAGATAAAAACCCGGCCTAGAAAAATCAAGAAAGATGGGAAAGAAGGTGCTGAGGAGATAGAAAGACATGTTGAACGCAGACGTTCAAGGTAATGCAATGCTTGAATTACTTTTGAGAAGCTTTATACAGGGGTCTTGAAAACCGGTAACAGGTTCTTTGGGATCTGTTTATACTAATTTTATTGGTCCTTTTTCTCCCAAGAGGTCGTTTTCTGCCTTGCAGGGCATTTTCAACAGAACTAGGCATCTGGAAATGAGACTAAGCAAATTTTGTGCCTTTTTTTTTTTCTTCTTTTTTTTTTAATATAATAGCGGGGGAGGGGTGGGGGCGGGTGACAGGATTCACCAGAGACAGAGTAGGGAACAGAACAGGCAGACAGACCGAAAGCACTGCTGAGGGGAGCAGCGGGTACAACAGGAGAGGTCTGCCGCGCCATGTGGGAATCTTCCTGGCCGGCAGGGAATTGAAGCCATGCTGCAGAGACTGCGGACAGCTTCATAGTGCTGTGCTCAACCCGCTGCGCCACTGGGGAGGCCCTGCCTTATTATTATTATTGACAAGTTTATGTAAGCTTGGGATCTAGATAAATAACACTGATGAAAGTTAGATTTTTACAATATGTATTCATTGAAAGTTTTTTCTTCCTTTCCCTGTTCTTAAATATTAGGTCTCCAAGGAGATCACTGAGTCCACGGAGATCCCCAAGAAGGTCAAGAAGTAGAAGCCATCATCGTGAGGGTCATGGGTCTTCTAGTTTTGACAGAGAATTAGAAAGAGAGAAAGAACGCCAGCGACTAGAGCGTGAAGCCAAAGAAAGGGAGAAAGAAAGGCGAAGATCCCGAAGTATTGATAGGGGGTTAGAACGCAGGCGTAGCAGAAGTAGAGAAAGGCATAGAAGTCGTAGTCGAAGTCGTGATAGGAAAGGGGATAGAAGGGACAGGGATCGGGAAAGAGAAAAAGAAAATGAGAGAGGCAGAAGACGAGATCGTGACTATGATAAAGACAGAGGGATTGACCGAGAAAAAGAGAGAGATCGATCGAGAGAAAGGTCAAAGGAACGGAGAAGTAGGGGTGAGGTAGAAGAGAAGAAACATAAAGAAGACAAAGATGATAGGCGGCATAGAGACGACAAAAAAGATTCCAAGAAAGAGAAAAAACACAGTAGAAGTCGAAGTAGAGAAAGGAAACATAGGAGTAGGAGTAGAAGTAGAAATGCAGGAAAACGAAGTAGAAGCAGGAGCAAAGAGAAATCAAGTAAACATAAAAATGAAAGTAAAGAAAAATCAAATAAACGAAGTAGAAGTGGCAGTCAAGGAAGAACTGACAGTGCTGAAAAATCAAGAAAACGGGAACATAGTCCCAGCAAAGAAAAACCTAGGAAGCGTAGCAGAAGCAAAGAACGTTCCTACAAAAGAGATCATGGCGATAGTAAGGACCAGTCTGACAAACATGATCGTCAAAGGAGCCAAAGTGTAGAACCGGAGAACCAAGAAAAACAACATAAAAACAAAGATGAGACTGTGTGAAAATTTTTTTGTAAAAGTGGATCACATTGAATCCTATAAATGTTTGATGAAATCTGCTTTCCCCCCCTCCCAAGTTGAGATTGTGCTGTAGTTACGCACTCTTCAAGCTCCCTGTAGGCTGCATTTTCATTTCCTCTTTTGTGTAGGGAAGTGCCTTTGTAATCCCATATATTGCATTGATGTTTTCACCCAGTTGTTGAGTTTGATACATGATGCACAGATTGTTCTTGGATTTTTATTGTTTAATTGTTTTTGAGATGTACAGTCTGTACATATGTCCTGAAAATGTTTTAATTCCTTTGGCATAGTTGCCATGTTGGTTAAATTTGTATAAGGCAATAAACTGCCACTAATTCTATTTTTGTTTTGTAGGTGTGGGATTATGGTTTGTGTACTGAAGTTAGCATGGCTGTGCTTTTCGTAATAGAATGCTAAAGACTTTGAGAATGAATCTTGGATGTCTATTATAGGAGAATTATGTGCATTCAATGTACACGAAGGCAGCAGTTGTAAGATTAACATTCTTGTCCACTGTATATTATCTTGGAAGGCTCTTGTTAATATGTTACACTTAATATTCTCCACAATTACCATTAGAGAGAATTTATGAGAAGTTACTTTCTGATACAGAGGTTTAAATTAGGCTGTGATTTGATCAAAAGTCCTTTTAGCATTCTACCTCAAAGGGACTCTGTTAGTATGCCTAAAATTTATTCACATAATTTTCCTTTTTTATTTGGAAAAAAAAAAAAAACATGACATGTAATCTTTTTTTTTTTTTAATTATTTCTTGGATTTTAAAGTACTATATTAAATGAAAAATTAATGTCTAAAGTCTAGCATTCTTGCAGCAACCCTATACTAACGTGAAATTGGGAGAGGGTGGGGCAGATGAATAGAGAAATAGAGTCAAGCCTCAAGCTTCCAAAGCATTTTTATAAATGGAAAATACGTAAATTATGAAACAGCTTGATAATAGTGTCCTTTTTTTAAAATTCAAAACTTTTTTTATTGATGATGAAGATTGCTGTTTGAGTTTTTAAACTTAATCTAGAACAGAGAAGTATTATGAGTAATGCTATGCTGCATTATCTAAGATTATCAGCAAATTATTTGATAGATTGTTCTTATGACTTGTATTCTGATTACAAAGAACCATCATGAGTGTGGAATAAATACTGGATTAAATCCTTTATCCTGGGTGTTGACTTTTCCCCCATTTGTAACTTTTTTTTTAAGTATATTTATTGTGGAAATTGTGTAGAGTGATACCTCAGTGCCCAGATGACAAGTGAACTTTAACAACAACAACAACAAAAGGTAGTCTATAATTGTAGTCAAGAATCCTTCCTGGAGTTCTTAATGATGGCATTTGTCAATGGGTGTTGCTTGTCACTAGGGTGTTTGGTTACTTTCACACCAAAGGTGCTTTCTGAGGTACTTTGTGCTTGGATTATATTTTGTAAGATAACTTCTTCAGTTCATTTGAAAACAGAAAGAGGCCCAAAGTGATTTGTTGAGTAACGGCCGGGACTATACTGATAGTGTATGCCATATTAATACTTGTTTCATTTTAGTTTATATCAGCCAACCTACAAAAGTGTTGAATGGAGCCAACAGCTACACTTGAAAGAGTCCTTCTACATGGACTTAACATTTGTATCTACCTAACTCTAGAAAAATCTCATTAAATGAAAAAAATTTCTCATAATGGTATGTTTTTTTTTTTTGTTTTTTTAAGAAAAGATGGAATTGTCACATTGAGCATCAAGTGAATGAACACTAGGTATATAGGAATTAGGAAACCATGAAAGCTAGTAGATTAATCTTAACCTTGAAAATATCTTTATCGTAGCTAAATTAATGGTGCTACTCCTTTGGATATAGTTCCACCTGTAATGTTAATTAAATGGTATATTTTAGCTAAAATATGGAAGAATTTATTTCAAATAGAAGTAAAAGTATTGTCATAAGCTGTATTTAATTTTCTGTGGTTTTTAATGTTTGCTTTTGAGGGATATTTTGTTACATTAGGAGTGCATGTAAATATTAGAAAATGCCAAGTATATGCATGATTTAACCTGGGCAGCAACTTCCAAAAGATTAGGAAAACAAGTGGCTATGAAAGACACCCAGGGTTGATTTAATTAGCAGCCTCAATCCAATTATTTTTTCCTGAAGTTGCTGAAATGATTTTACCTCTCTATGTATTAATGTGTTTTCTAGTTAAATTCTATACATGAGCTAGTATGTCAGCATTGAGATTTTAATATAAAGTGTCCATTTTAATTTGGCGTAATAGTTGAGTTTAGTTCCTCCAAGGTGGTGGTTCTTAACCTTTGGGTTATGGGCTACTATTTAGGAATACTGAAAAACCTAAAAGGATACAAGTTTGCATGCAAAAGTATCTTAGGGCTTGGGCTGTTTACTTACTGATTCTTTGAAAGCTGTTATTGGTGTACAGTATTTGGCTATGAAAAGCAAATTCACATAGCAAAGAGTATCCCAAGGGCAGTCACTTTTTTTTAAAGTTGAAATAGGGAGAAATGCTAATGGTGTTCACTTAATTGCCTTTCCCAAGAGTTAACCTTCATGAATGTAAGTTTATTTGAATGGCTACAGATTAAGTTTAGACAGTTTTTTCAACTGATTGCAACGTCCAGCTTTCATTGACACTGGCCACTTGACCAATTCCCACTGGTCATATTGACCAATAAGCTTTTTTTTTTTTTAAAGATTTATTTATTTTTACAAGCACTGGGTACAGTCAGAAGCGCGGGAGGGTGAGAGAATTCACCAGAGCCAGAGCAGGGAGCAGAGTAGGCAGAAGGACAGTACACTGCTGAGGGAAGCAGCGGGCGGCAGGTGAGGTCTGAGCGCCATGTGGGACCCTCCTCTGGTGGCCGGGGAGCAGCCGGGGATCGAACCGGCGCTACAGAGGCTGCGGGCAGCTTCACAACCCAGCGCTCAACCGCTGCACCACTGGGGAGGCCCTTGACCAATAAGCTTTTAAACTGGTTTTGCTAATCTGACCTCTTGTAAATGCTGGATTCAGACTTGAATGACTAACCTAATTATAGGACCTCTTTTTTTTTATTTTTTGAGCTGATAGTCATTCTGAAATTCCTCCATTATTCCATATATAAGATCTCATAGCACCTCGCAAATACCTCTGAAGAGACTCTTCATTTAGGATTACCAACTATCAACATTTATTCTGTAGGAAACATGGCAACATGAATATAATCAAAAGCGTTAGTATCACAGCTGAATTGCAATCTTTTATCCTATTCCTCTGAGCATTGCTAGTGAGAATTTCTGTTACATAATCATGATAATGTATTAGGTAAAACGTATTCAGGTATGGGGGCAGTATTTTTCCAATCTATTGCACAAATGAGATACGCTCATTCAAATTAAATAGTTGACTTCAAAGCATTTTGTATAGCATACAAGCCAGGAGGTTTAAATCCAAGAATCAGAAAAAAAAAAGACTGGCAACAACATCACAAACTCCCCTGATCTGCAAATATCTAAAGTCCACTAATTTAAAGCTAGTTTTCCTTGGTCAGTACTTGTTCTAACAGCTCTAAAACGAAATTTTTTCTTTATTGGGTCAGTGGATTTAGTCATCCCCCTCAAATTCCATTAGCTCTGATTCCCCAACATCCCTAATGAACATATAATCTAAGTGAATACAAAAAGGGTTGCTGAGCAAATGCAAGAGAAGCCTCCCCTCCTTAGGAAGTCACCAGTGTCCTTGATGTTCTACACCAATACAAGCAATTTCTTACATGTTTACATTGACTAAATGCTTGGGTCATCCAGTTCAGGTGATGGTTCAGTGACCAATTCTTCCTGAACAAAGTGTTCTGACTCATTTGGGAAACAGTTGTGCTGGGGCAACTGCAGGGACAACCTGATTTGTGGATGTGCCAGTTAATCGGCTCCCAAATCTATCCTTCATTGCCCTGCTTTGTGATCCTGGACCTGGGCCTTTTGAACGTTTCTCATTTGCTGGCATGTTCATTAAGGATGCAGGAGGTGATGCTGCGGAAGAAAGGAGCTTCTCTTCCTGCTTCTCAGATGTATTTCTTGCTTCTGCATTATGTGGGCCCAGTGGCATAGAAGACACCCAGTGGCGCATCATGGAAAATGTTCCCCGCAAATCCTCTAGTCCACCTGCCAGCTTTCTCAGCAAGTCTTACTGGTGCTCCAGGAGCAATTTCCTAGTAAGTCTTGTGGCACCGACTCAGACGGCTTCCTAACTGGCCTTTTGACACTCCCTCCTCTCCAGCCTGAGACTCAGTACCTGGGCAGCAGTACCTGGCTCACAGCCACACCCTCAGTCTTGTGAGGGGACCTCTTCCAAATGTGTTCTTTCCTTGGGTCCTGTGCCTCAGCCCTTGAGGTGGTGGTGCTTCTATAGCCATTATTTCTGTGTGTTTTAGGGTTCTCTCTACCTTTAGTAATCAATTCCATTAGTGGTTAACAATTCTTCTAATGAGACGTCTCTTTAAATTACATGTTTTCTGTCTCCTGGTGGGCCCAGACTGACAATAGATTAAGACAACTATCATAAGGGTGCCGCTGCTGTGGGTTAACTGATAGCCCCTCATGTAGTCTAATATAAGAGTCTTAGCACAAGTGTTTGAGGATTTGTGGAGAATCTGTTTCTTGAGAATTATGTAAGTAAATCAGATTGGCTCCTCCTAGAATTTTGACTAAGAGTTGTCAAGTCCTTAGAAAAATGGACAAGACTTGTATAATCCTAAGAGGACGCCCAGATGAAGGAGCTGCCACAGTAACTAGCTTCCCTGAAGCTACCCCACATCCTGCTGCCTTTCCAGTTGGCATGTTTTGTTTGTTGGTTTGTTTTTCTAGCCTGGTCAGTGGACATCCTAACAATCTCTGTTTTCCTTAAGATAGTCTGAGTTTGGGCCTCCCTGGTGGCACAAGGGGTTAAGATGCAAACTATGAAGCTATCAGCAGCCTCTGCAGCACGAGTTCCATCCCGGCCAGCCAGGGAGCAACCTACATGGCACAGCAGACCTCTCCTGACTCACCCACTGCTCTCCTCAGCAGTGTATTTCAGTCAGCCTGCCTGCTCTGTTCCCCACTCTGTCTCTGGTGATTCCTCTCACCACCCCCCCACACACACCTCTGGCCTGTACCCCAGTTCTTGTGTGCGTAAATAAATCTTAAAAAAAAAAAAATAGTCTGAGTTTCCCTTCCTTGGAACCCAAGGTTTATTTTATTGTAACCATCAGAGATCCCTGACCAGGGATCTTGCTAACATTTTCCTGACATTTAATTCTTCTCTGTTGATGCGCAGCACTATTGAAAAAGAAAAGTAGTCATCTACTTGATTTAATTTAGCAACAAAGTAAATGAAGTTCTGGTACAATTGCTTTTCCTTGGTAGAAATGATTGGCCCATGGGCAGAAGGAGGTATATGGGAAGCTGGAAGGATAGTGTGTGGATTAGGGCCACTATAAATTTTGTAGTGTTACATCATACTCCATTATTTCTTTGTTATCCCCAAACAGCTCTTTTTATATCCCTGCCATGTCTAGTTCAAAATCTTTATTCATTTCTATTTTTTCCTTTAAGATTTATTCTTATTTATGCATAGAAGAACTGGGGTATGGGCCAGAGGTGAGGGGAGAGTGGTGAGAGGATTCACCAGAGACTGAGTGGGGAGCAGAACAGGCGGCTCCACTGAAATACATTGCTGAGGGGTGCAGCAGACCAGACAGGAGAGATCTGCTGCCCCACATGGGTCAGCTCCCTGCCCGGGGTTCAAACTCAGGCCGCAGCTGAGATAGTGTGATAGCGCTGAGACTTAACCCCTATGCCACCAGGGAGGCCCTTTACTAGTTTCTTAAGCGTTCTACTTCACCTCCATACTCATTCTCACTTGGCAGGCAGGATGGGGCACAACTCAGCTCCTCTTCCTCTCTCCTCTCCTCCTCGCTCTCTTCCTCAGAAATGTCATAGCTTCTGGTAACAGCCTTCGCAGGGCAACTTGGGATGGGCCACAGGAGCGGCTATCTTCCAGGCGATCATGGTGCCAGACCACAGCTTCCACCACATTACACGTCTGTGGCCCCCTCATGGGCAGCGTATGCACAAAGTCAGCACTTTCTTCATCACTCTCTTCCTCTGCCTTGAATGTCAAAGAGCAGGAGTGGCTGGAGGGCTCACAGTCAAAGAAAAAACTGTTCATCATGACCAGAATCCCCAGGCCCCAAGCACTCTTGCCAGCACTCGCTCTCCTGATTGAAGAACTTGAAGCTAAACACACAGTCTGGTAGCTGCTTCCCCTCCCAGTTGTCTTAGCTCCATTCACCTCAGGACCTAAACTCACTTGGCAGCATCTCGTTCCTGATGGTCTTCAGACAGCTGATAAATTTAGTAATTCAAAGTTTTAAAGTGAATTTATATTACAAAAGCAACAGATTCATTTGCACTGATTCCCAATGAAACTGTTTACTAATACCCTCATAGCCTATTTTGAACCAAGATGTCGACATTAGCCAGAAAACAGTTGCTAACATAAAATCGATGTATTGGGTTGTTGGAAAAATCATGACATATTTTTTCTTTTGTGTGTTGACAACAGGAAAGATTTAGTCTTTTAGCAACTTGGAAGTTTATAATACAATACTGCTAACTATAATCACTGTGTTTGTACCTTTCAACATCTCCCCAATTCCTCCCTCCACCCACCTCTCATCTTAGACATACATGCTTTGCAGCAAATTGCTCCTGATAAACAGTGATCATTTTTGTACTGAAGCAAAAATAAGAACAACATATAAAGATGAAATATAATAAATTAACTTGATTAGAATCCCCAAGTTTATAATGAGCATTCCACTGGATCAAAATTGTCTATATAATGTTGTAAAAGTTTTATTAAGAAAAGAATTCCAAACTTTTTCTTCAAAAAGAAAAAAGCAGAGTATTCTATCTATTACCTGGAAACCCAGGTTACAGGAAATTTTTGGCTCACTGGGCATGGCTTTCTTCAACTCTTTTCTTTTTTTCCAGTCTTTGCAATACCTGTTGCTGCCAGTCTCCAAGTGCCCCTTGTCACAGGTCAGCCAAGGGGAGGAGCTACTTCTCCAGGTCTGTCCCCAGCATCACAACCTCACGTCCCATGGAACAAAGGTGGCTTGGGGACCAAAGGGGAATTGAGCCCTGTGTTCTGTGCCATGTGAGTGCTTGGTCTAACAGGATGGCTGGTGCAGCGGAAAAATGTTTGTCTTTGATTGGATTCAGCCTTTTCTATCTTAAAATGGTGAGTTCACCAGTCTGACCTACTGCAACTATTTAGCAGGGATAAAAAAAAAAATCTCATTCTTCCTCTTTCTCTCTCTCTCTCTCTCTCTCTCTCTCTCTAATGTTCTAGTGGGTAGAGAGATAGACATCCAAAGGCTTTT